ATGGCCCAACATGGCCGGTGGTATGGGCTACATTGCATATCTGCTACGCTAGCCACTCCTAGTGTAAAGGGCTTAGGCTTATGCCTAAGCCTAGGTCTAACACAAGACGGACCAAGTCTAACACTACTACTAAGCAAACACACTAGACACCTATAAAAAGGCGTAGAGGGCTTACCTCTCCTTTAAGATACTAAATACTATTATTAACGCTTATTATATTCTCCCTTAAGGCTAGTCTATAATATTTTAGTATCTTCTTCTAAATATACTATAATAGTAATAAGAGATAGACGCGCTAGATATTTAGAATAACTAGGTGCAACCTAATATAGTAGAAAGGCTAATATAATAGGTCTAAAGATTAATAGAATAATAGGCTTAAGACTCTACTATAATAGCTATACTACGTTAATAGAATAAGGAAATACGCAATTAGATTCTATCCTAACCCTCCTCTAAGCCTGCTAGGTTTAATAATATACTACCTCTACCCTCTCCTACCTTATACTATAAACCTTTCCTAGTTAGCTTGCTATATAATAGCACTAAGGCAAACTTCTCCTCCTAGTAAATAACTATAGAGTTTAAACTACGTGTAGATAAGGTCTTTATTAGGGATAAGGAGGCAAGGTTTATATATATTTAGTCCTAGTTATCGCCTATAGTCTAGCGTGCTATAGCACTATACTTTAAGGATAATGCATATAAATATTAGAATATAAGTAGGTTTCTTAACTACCTAGTGTTCTATTATAGTAACTATTATAGGCAGGAGCATGCCTAAGTCGCGTTAGAACACTTATATTAGGGCTAAAATTAGCCTTTTATAGAGTTTTTTATAAATTTTATATAGCTTCTTATATAATTAGGAGGTTTATACTAGGATAATAAATAGAAGCTTTTATAACTTTAGTAATCTCTTAATAGTTATATACGCTTAGTTTCCCTTAATAGGGGAGTCTCTAGGACAAACTATAACGCCGCTATAGAGGAATATAAGATAATTATAGTAGATATTAAAATAGCCTCTCTAGAACTAGGCTTTCTTTAGGCTAGTAAGTCTAAGGAACCCTAGTAGAAGTCTAACTTAGATTAGGATAGTAATATAAATATAGTAGAAGTAGTAGCCTTATTAAGTATACCTACTAAACTATAAATATTATATCCTAACTAGATCCTATAGGACCTATTTAATATATAGAAACTAGCAAAGGTCTACACCTAGTATAGATAGGGCAGTTATTTTATGCGTGCATGCCC